CCTTCAACTCCAAATTAGAGATGGACCAAGTTGAATTATATTGATTTTTCAACTTATCGAGTAATTTTTCAAGGGACCGGGGAAAAATTTCAAATTATCGAGAGTATAAACATGTATAGATTCAGTAGGGATTAGATGTTTGATAGAATCGTTTTAACAAATGTTCGTTAGGCAACTCTTTTACTCGGGTAAAAACCGGCGGAGCCTGGAACATTCGCTAGTATATATTTATAAATTATATACTATAAATAATAAAAAAGCACATGTGCTCGTGGTCAGGAGATGCCTTCTTTATTTTTAATATATATATGGTAATTCAAACCATCAACCCTATAATCTACTTATATAATTGCCTTATTCTGTCTGTGTGAAGTTCACTTTGTGAAGTTCACGTATAGGTTTTTGGTCAGAATGGATAAAATAAAAAAAAGGGTCAAGGGATGGGAATCGAACCCACGACCTTCCGCTTACCGGGCAGATGCCATGACCACTAGGCTACCCTGGCCATATTTTTCCGTTCATAAAGTTAATATATATAATAATTGTATAAACGAATGCAAGACAAAATCACCACGAATGTTTTTTAAGGCAATTTCTTTTTAAGGCAATATCGTTTTGCACAATTACTTAATCTTTTAAAATAAATAACAATACTTAAATTAAAATACTTTCTTTAAATAAAATAAAATAAACTTTTTAAATCAGTAACCTTTTTATGAGAACCTTTAAATATATATAAGTACCTTATAATTGTAACGAATAGTATTTTAATTAAAACATTTTAAAAACACACAGTTTGGAACGGGACGTTTCACAAGAGTGACATCCATGGCGCCAATTTATAATTGTAACGAATAGTATTTGAATTAAAACGTTTTTAAAATATATACGCACTCGGGTAAAACCCGGGCGTTGCCCGGCCATTCTTCTAGTGGTATATAAAAACCTCGGTTTTAGGCCCAACTTAGTCACTTCAACCGTCGGCGTGAGCCCTTATTGGTTGCAGCCAGGTCCAACTCATCGACCATGTAAAACAGTAAGAAACCGTCCTTTCTCCTTCTTGATCTTAGCTCGACTCCTATCTTTTCATGGAACTTTCCTACTACACAGCTGTGTCTCTTCGTTTTGTGTGTGTGGACATTCCCAAGCTTTCCACTCTGCCTCGAACACGACTGCCTGTACTCTGTGAGAACTGTTAAAGGTACACCAAGGTGCAGAGAGGTACTGGAAAACTCTCCACGCCCTGACTGTCCCTCTCGGTTAACTACAGGTTTGACCCTCGGTTACCACAGCTATAGCGAGAGTCGACAGGATACCTCATCACAGATCTGAGTCAAGTCAGATCACCTACTGTCGATACAACAATTCTACTTAACGCATGGCACTCCATTTCAAACCTTTCACAATCATTTTAATGAACAACTTGTTCTTCAACAACTTTTCAACCCAATAACTCTACAATTGTGACAAAGCACTGTAACCTTATACAGGATCACAGGTGAAACATTGCCTAGGAAGACGCCAAGTCTATATCCTCGCTTTGCACCTGGATCTAAATATTTGACTGCATGTGTAATACCTACAATTGCATATTCTTTAAATCCTAACCCTTTCCAACGCACGCCAACAATCTCTTAGAACATTTCATAATTTGCAGATATATAAAAAAACATCTTGTTATAGCCCTTTTAAAACCCTCACAGTTTAAAATAATTGAAATAAATTTTAATTACTTACCTGTGTTAGAGAGGCTCTACCCGTTTAAACCCGGATAAACCCTTTCACCCCCGGGGCTCATCTATGGTAATTTAAACCAACAACCCTATATTGTATAATACTTATAACAAGATTGTCATGTTTTATATAGAAACACATCTATAAATAATTATACGCATGATTGACATGTGTCATTGCATCACAATATGTAATGTACTTTGTACAAACTGAGGATAAATAAATAAAACTATGTAATAGATTAAGAGCTGAGTTAAAGCAAGATTGAGAAGTTCAAAAACGTCTAAAATCGAGAGAGAGGTCCAACAACCCTGAAGAGGAATTTGGCAGCCCGTTGCCATCGAGGTCAAAGGGTGCAGACTGCCGCAGACGTTCAAAGTCCAAATTCTCATATTCCCCCCCCCCCCCCCCTCCTCGGGAATGGTATATAAAAACCTCGGTTTTAGCCCAACTTAGTCAATCACTTCACCGTCGGCGTGAGCCCTTGTTGGTTGCAGCCAGGTCCACCTCATCGACCATGTAAAAGAGTAAGAAACCTTCTTTCTCCATCTTGCTCTTAGCTCGACTCCTATCTGTTCATGGAACTTTCCTACTACAGCTGTGTCTCTTCGTTTTGTGTGTGTGGACATTCCCAAGCTTTCCACTCTGCCTTGACCACGACTGCCTGTACTCTGTGAGAACTGTTAAAGGTACTCCAAGGTGCAGAGAGGTACTGGAAAACTCCCCACGCCCTGACTGTCCCTCTCGGTTACTACAGGTTTGACCCTCGGTTACCACAGCTATAGCGAGAGTCGACAGGATACCTCATCACAGATAAGTCGACAGGGCCTTTTATCGCATATATATATATATATATTATGACCTCTCACATTAGATGGAATAGCGCAATTTAGCGGAACAAATATAAACTAAACTTTGATTAAGGGCTTATTCCATAATATTTTGCTGACCCATTTTTTTTATTATCAAGAAAACCCAAACACGTACGCGTTTCTTGATATTGTCAGCATGGTATAGGCTGTACCTCACGACTAAATATATGATGTGTATAAACCTATTTTATTTTTAATTACAACGCCTGACCTATTTTCAATTTTTTACCACATATCAATATGTATGTGCCTAGAGGGGCACCTCTCCCTTCAACTTTCATTTGAACAATGCATATTTCTAATCACTCCAGTAAAGTTTGTAACTATGGTGATTAAAATAATGCATCGTTCTGATGCATATTTAAAGGGAGAGGTGCCCTTCTATGTACATGAATATTTTCCTTCCGTTACTTTATATTATAGTATTGCCAGAAAATCGGCCCTTGCCACGTCACCAGCTTAAAAACCTCTTTGGTTAATTGGACCGATTTCATAGCCGAAATCGAAGGCGCTCCTGTACTGATAAGGGCCATGGCCCAAGACGATGGTATACAGGTTGGCTTTTTGCCTGAATTAGCCAAAACTGGTGTTGTGACTCATACTTAATCTCCCCACTAGTAAAGGTTTTAACTGAGATGATAAACATAATGCGTCGTTATGATGCATAATTAAAGGGAGTGGTACCCCTCTAGATACAGGGATATTTTCCTCCCGCACCTTTATGTTATAGGTGAAAAAAATAGAATAAAAATAGGTTGGATGGGCCTATAAATATTTCTAAATGTACCCTGTTGATTGAAAGAAATTGAAGAAAATTATGTTTTCAAAAAAATAGTTTTTGATGGAAATTTCTCGCCTTACTTCATAGAAATATATTTTCTGTGCTCTGATTCCCTAATGACTGGTTGGCCCTTTAAATCCTCTATATAAATTCAAAATATAATCCTCTCGTTAAACTCTCTATCTGAAAGCTTCTTTAAGAAGTGGATTTATTTGATCTCTCATTTAGGCAGATGTTTATAAATAAAATTTAATAATGATAATCCGATTTGGTCCATTTAAAATCTTGGTGGCTTTCTTCATTTTATATCCAATAATTAACTGATTTTGCGGTCGACCTTTTATCTAGAACTCCTCATATATTTGTCGTCATCTAATATTTAGTGTCCAATAACCTAATTGGGAATATATCTCTTTTTTTCTATTGTACATATAACTAGTGAATGCATTCAATTTTTATTTCAAACTACAGCGCTGGAAAGAATTTTTACAAATATATAATATTGGCTATATATGCCAAAGATATCATATTATTTTATTAATTCAAAAATATTTCATTATTTTACTCACTTCATTGTCCAATGCACAATGGAATGAAAAAGGCTTTTCATTATATATATCCAATAAGGAACCGAATTTGGGATAGATTTATATCCAAAATTTCTCATTATTTTTTTCAGAATTTGAGATTTTGTGATAGACAATCGATTAGAAACAAAGTATCTTTCAACCTTATGCATAATTATTAATATAACTAAGTCTAACCATGATTCATAGGTTCGCTTATTTGTCTGAATTTACCAAAACTCTGACTTTTTTTAATTATCGAAGAAGATTAAATAAAACATTGTTATGTATGTAGTGCATGTAATAAATTCATTCTATAAATAAATATGTACAATATACCTATAAGAAAAAATAAATAAAGAAAAAATCAAGAGGCATTATAACTAAATCGACATTTACTGATCAATCGAATTGACACTCTATATGGCAAAACATTATGTATCAAAATCAAATATTTTGGAGTAAAAGTAAATCAACATGTAATCGATATATATTCCTAAACATAGAAAATTTCAATCCATAATGCTTATATATAGGGTTAAAATATGCTCCTATTATTTACATATATAATTATTGATTGAATAGCATATTTTGGATCAAAAATAAAATAAACATTTATATTAAATAAAATGTTTATTTTATTTTTGATCCAAAATATGCTATTCAATTAATAATTTAATATGGATTGCTCAATATTTAAGATATATAATTATATTAAATATCAATTACATTATAATTCAAGTGTTTTGTTGATGGTTCTTTTTTTACAAATAAATGAGGCTTTAAAGCCTAAATATAAACCTAGCTCTTTTGTTAATTCTTGCTGTTATACATTTTTAAATATTAGGAAGATTCATCTGAGAAATTGAAAATGTCGATTTATACTTTGGTTATACTGTTTCTTTGTTTACTCTTCATAATTTGAATTTATATATGCGATATATATTGCAGAATTACACTGCTAAACAATCTAACATTGTTATATTAGTTAGGGGGCAGTTTAAACAGAAAACAAAGTTCACTTTAACAAGAAAAAAACTTTGTTAATTCCTTAAATTAAAATGTGATTTCTAAACGTCTACTTTGCGTGCCAACTAATTAGAAAAGTTTATAAAGTATTCCGATTGAGTTTATCTCGCAGCCTCTAGAATGGCCCATTATCTGTGCTAATGGTATCTCCATGATATCATCTGAAATTAACGGAGTCAAGTAAGAGGATCCCTCGGGGAGCTCTGGCAATCACAGCCTAGCCCGGGTGTAACAACTTACTTTATCTGCCATTGCCCCCACCAATACCGCCATTTTTAAATCCTATAAAATACACGAAGTGTAAATTCCACATAATATTTTATTTATATTTCGTTGAGTAGTAAGGTCGGTCTTTATCGATTGTTAAGGAATAAAATTAGAGAATATATAAAAATAATCAATATAAATTATAGTTAAACTTTAATTGCAATAAGTTTCTTTATTAAGTTGGAACGGCAATCTTTTAAGCGTTAGCTCATCATCAGTCCAAAAGTCTCGCAAATACCCAACAAATTATATATAG